AAAATTGAAAAAATTTCCCTCGTTCCCCGTAAATGGGGGAAACCTCCAAAAAAATTACAAATTTAAAAATCGCTAATTTTCCAAATTTTTTCAATTTTTTTTATTTAAAATTGCCATAACTTTTTCAAAAATGAACATATCAACATAATTTTTTTTTAAATAGATGCATAACATTATTACCTTTCATTTGGTATATTTTTTTCATAAATTTAACCCTTAACCTGCCCACAAGGGGGGATTTAAAATGACAACTTTTTCAAAAAAAATTAACTTTTTCAACTTCACTTTTGAAAATGTTCCGGAAGGTCTGACACTTTTATATATATCTTAAATTAAAGTTAATGTAATATGCTTTATCATGAAAAAAAAAAATTTCGGACTTTATTTTATCTTCACGGTGAAAATGGCTACCAAATGCTATTTTTGTGTGAAAATTTTCGATTTTTTATTTTTCATTTTTAACTTTATTATGCCATGACTTTTTGAAAAATGTATGGATCAGTACAATTTTTTCATGAGGAGTAGTATTTATATACATCTTTCATTTGACATACTGTTTTTTTAAATCCGACCATTTCCCTATATACNTAAAATCAGACTATTTCCCTATATATGGGGGAGGTTCAAATCTAAAAAATGCTTGTAGAAAGTAGAACTTTTTCAACTTAAATTTTGAAAGTGTTCCGGAAAGTCTGACACTTTTATATATATCTTAAATTAAAGCTAATGTAATGTACTTTAATTTGAAAAAAAAAAATTTGACCTCTGGACTTGTCTTCATGGTGAAAACGGCTACCGAATGCTATTTTTGTGTGAAAATTTTCGATTTTATAATTTACATTTTTTACTTTAAAGTGCTATAACTTTTTAAAAAATGTATGGATCAATACAATTTTTTCATGAGAAGTAGTATTTATATACATCTTTCATTGGATATACTTTTTTTTTAAATCAGACTATTTCCCTATATATGGGGGGGCTTCAAATATAAAAAATGCATATAGAAAGTAGAACTTTTTCAACTTAACTTTTGAAAATGTTCCGGAAGGTCTGACACTTTTATATATATCTTAAATTAAAGTTAATGTAATATGCTTTATCATGAAAAAAAAAAAATTCGGACTTTATTTTATCTTCACGGTGAAAATGGCTACCGAATGCTATTATTGTGTGAAAATTCTCGATTTTATTTTTTACATTTTTAACTTTATAATGCTATGACATATTGAAAAGTGTATGGATCAACATTATTTTTTTATGAGAAATAATATTTTTTAATAATCCCTTTTTCATTCTACATACTTTATCTTAATTAGGATATTAATAATGAACTAGCAGAT